GTCCGGACAAGGCGGCTTGTGTTCAATAAAGTGTGCCATTCGTTGGACGTACTTTGACAATATTGAGAAAAACCTCTTTTTGTTTTGACTTTAAGTTTTGCAAATACATTTATACTTTTACCATTTCTGCCCTAAGAAAAAAGGCACCATTTACACTGGTTTGATGTTATATCTCCTTCACGAGCCACAGTTAGGGTTGTAACAAACGGGTAAATATATTTGCTGTTTTAAATGTAACTTGAAATCTCTCTTTTAATTGTTGTTTTTGCTCTGAACTAAATATGGCTTTTTAAACATACAAGACATTTCAAAGAAACATCACATCAGAAAACATTCCAGACTCGTGCAGCCCTGGTGTGTGTGTTTGCAAGCACATGTGCCGAAGCATTGGAACAAGGTGAGGGAGGGTCAATGCTGTGCTCTTATGAGAAAGTACACTGAGGCCAGCTCCTGATTTAAACATCAGCTGTCATAAATGTTTCAGAGACGGAGGGAAATCGACGGGGCTGCTCGCGACTAAAGGAGAGGAGGAATATACGACTACAATAAGAAAGCTGCTAAGAAATAGATCATATAATTCAAATTGTAAAAATAAAAAATAAAAAGCAGCAAGCGTCATCAAGCCCCATCGGTGAAAAGGGCGAGGCGAACTCATTAAAGTGCAAGGTGTAAATTTGAATCATGAATAGGTGTGTCTGGCATTGCCACGGCTGCACGGTAAAAAACAAGTCATGGTTCTCATTGACATTTTTATCGGGGTGTCAAAATAGACTTTGACTCACTCTGCAGGGGGAGTTGATGTGCCAATTCATTGTTTTCACATTCAGTTGGCCACAACTGATTAAAATGGCCGCAAATGGCGAAGTGGCACGCTCTCTGCCAAAACAATTTCCAAGTGGTAACTTTGTTTGTTACTGACGTGGCAATAAAAATGATTCTGATTCTGATTCTAGATACGAGCAAATTTGAAAGTGTCAAAATTGAAAAAACAAACAAAACAAAAGGTAACATTTGTGGCCCTGCAATGTTTTGCAGACAGCGTCAGTGAAACTCTGAAGTTTTCATTAAACCTTTATCAAATCTATGGACAGTGGTTTGTCAGAGGGTTTGGCCGTTTAACTTTATTTCCTTGACTTGGTTTGACTAATATTTGTACTGAATTTTTTGTGGTTCTATGACAAACTAGACGTTGAACTGGCACCCATGGGTGCCATGTAAATTGTTTTTTAATTTTTTTTAGTCCCAAGAAAAAAAAACTGAACTGAATTTTGGGTAACATTTTTTGAGACTGTCCATGCCAGTTCAGGGGCTCAGATAAAGATATAAAGAACAATATAGGTTTCCATGGCAGGAAAGTTTTAGGACCCCTCTCATTTCACTGTATTACAGCAGGAGTAATGGTGTCCCATGCTTTTGACTGGGGTTTATAAGAGTTAGGGCATGTGCCGTCGCTCTTGACAGTTACAACAAGGAAGTAGTAGTAGTAGTAGTAGTTAGTAATCTTTATTTATATACCGCCTTTTCACTGCAGATCTGAGTCTCAAAGCGGTTTACAATTGTTAATTTTTGGGCATTTGTCTCTCACTCCACACAGAGATGGGAGCGGGGCCAGTACAGGAGGCGCATGCCAGACCTATTGGACATATTTTTAGTGGTAGGGGAAACCGGAGTACCCGGAGGAAACCTACGCAGACACGGGGAGAACATGCAAACTCCACTCAGAAAGGCCCTGGTCCGACCGGGATTCGAACCCAGGACCTTCTTGCTGAGAGGCGAGAGTGCTATCCACTCAGCCACCGTGCCGCCCAGGAATGCTTGCCCAGTTGGGGCTCCGGCCTAAAAAACAAAGTGAGAACTGCAGGATCACTTATCATAATATTGTGTGTATACTTCAGCAGTAAGTTTTCGCATGGTTTAAGACTTCAACATTCTCTATGCTTTGAGAGCCTGTGGACTCACTACCTGCTGGAGGATCAGCGTGGGGCTGGTGCTCTGAGGATTGGGTGCTCTAATTTCCCAAAAAGCAGATATCAATCAGATGGTCTGCCTTTATTTAGTGCTAACTTGCTGTTTTTCAACACTTGTCCAACGAAGGCTTTTAGGACTTAAGAGCACACATTACAATCTACAAATATACAATTAATCACATTTACAATTAATCAAACTGATTTCAGCCACAGCTTTTGTTCTCATACATTACATATGTTGAAGAATACTTGTTGGATTGTGTTATCAAGCACTTGGATCTGCTGTGTATACTTCATGTGTCAGAAAGCATTTACACTCAGCAGCACTAAAACTGCTGTGAAGGGAGGCCAGGGGAAATGTTAGTATTTGTTTTACAAAGGAATTGTGGGTCAGGCTCATGGGAGAAGCCTTTTACCTCCAATCTGTGATGTATAAGCAATAGAACAACTGTTTCTAAGAGCGCAGACTGCACTAAAGGCTTTACAATCTACTGAGCTCTCTTACAGGCTTAGAGCATTACCTTAAACTGAAAAATACAATATTGTATGCAGATAGCTTTGATTTAGTCAAAAGTAACTATGCAGTGCAGTTTGACGAGCACGTGTGGCATTCTACATTGAAACAGTGGCGCCACCTAGTGGAAAACAGCATGCATAAACTATTTGAGTGGACTTGCTTAAATTCAATTAACTAAATGGCAAGGCATATTAGAGAAAATGCAGAATGAGATGAGGAAGACAATTGTGGGCAATTGTGAATAATCAAACTCAATTATTTCTGAAAGGTAACATGAGACATCTCATTCAGAAGAAGATCAGTGAGGGTATGTCTGCTGTGACTCATACTTAATGGCTCCTTATACATACAGAAGGAGTAATGGATAAGAGATGGCCTGCTAGCAATGTGTGCAGGAAGAACTTTGGGAAATGGTTACATTGATTAAAAATCCCCAGCAGTCACCAGAAATAAGAGCCTGGGAATGACTATGTATGTACAGTATGTGGAGTCCACCAAATCAGAGCAGAGGCTGTACTGGCCACAACAGATTGTTTAATATGAATTATATATACTTCATATCATGATATTTAGAGAGATTATTTTGTTTCTATAATAATTAGACCAAATTAAATATAATTGTTTATGACTGACTTTATTTATACTGTATACTCATTATAAGAACTGGGTTTATAATGGAAAAATCCCCATTAAGTTGCATTATACTGGTTTACATGTAAAAAAACCCTATTAAGTTGCATTATACTGGTTTACATGTAAAAATCCCTATTAAGTTGCATTATACTGGTTTACATGTAAAAACCCCTATTAAGTTCCATTATACTGGTTTACATGTAAAAACCCCTATTAAGTTGCATTATACTGGTTTACATGTAAAAACCCTATTAAGTTGCATTATACTGGTTTACATGGAAAAATCCCTATTAAGTTGCATTATACTGGTTTACATGAAAAAAACCCTATTAAGTAGGGCATTATAACTGGTTTACATGAAAAAAAACCCTATTAAGTTGCATTATACTGGTTTACATGGAAAAATCCCTATTAAGTTGCATTATACTGGTTTACATGGAAAAAACCCTATTAAGTTGCATTATACTGGTTTATCATGTAAAAACCCCTATTAAGTTGCATTATACTGGTTTACATGGAAAAAATCCCCATTAAGTTGCATTATACTGGTTTACATGTAAAACCCCTATTAAGTTGCATTATACTGGTTTACATGGAAAAATCCCTATTAAGTTGCATTATACTGGTTTACATGGAAAAAACCCTATTAAGTTGCATTATACTGGTTTACATGTAAAAACCCTATTAAGTTGCATTATACTGGTTTACACTGGAAAAATCCCCATTAAGTTGCATTATACTGGTTTACATGAAAAAAAAAACCCTATTAAGTTGCATTATACTGGTTTACATGAAAAAACCCCTATTAAGTTGCATTATACTGGTTTACATGGAAAAATCCCTATTAAGTTGCATTATACTGGTTTACCATGAAAAAAACCCTATTAAGTTGCATTATACTGGTTTACATGGAAAAATCCCTATTAAGTTGTACATTATACTGGTTTACATGTAAAAACCCTATTAAGTTGCATTATACTGGTTTACATGGAAAAATCCCCATTAAGTTGCATTATACTGGTTTACATGAAAAAAAAACCCTATTAAGTTGCATTATACTGGTTTACATGAAAAACCCTATTAAGTTGCATTATACTGGTTTACATGGAAAAAACCCTATTAAGTTGCATTATACTGGTTTACATGTAAAAACCCCTATTAAGTTGCATTATACTGGTTTACATGGAAAAAATCCCCCATTAAGTTGCATTATACTGGTTTACATGAAAAAAACTCCCTATTAAGTTGCATTATACTGGTTTACATGAAAAACCCTATTAAGTTGCATTATACTGGTTTACATGAAAAAAATCCCTATTAAGTTGCATTATACTGGTTTACATGTAAAAAACCCTATTAAGTTGCATTATACTGGTTTACATGGAAAAATCCCTATTAAGTTGCATTATACTGGTTTACATGGAAAAATCCCTATTAGGTTGCATGATTACACTGAAGTCCTTGAAACTGCTGAAGTCCTTGAAACTGCTGAAGTCCTTGAAACTGCTGAAGTCCTTGAAACTGTTGAAGTCCTTGAAACTCTTGAAATCTTGAAACTGCTGAAATCCTTGAAACTGTTGAATCCTTGAAACTGTTGAATCATTGAAACTGTAGAAATGTCTGAAAGAGCTGAAGTCCTATTAAAATGCATGGGCCTATTAAAATGCATTGCAGAATTCTCAATGCAGATTTTTGTCCGATTGCGGAAAAACCGGAAATCGCTGAAGTCCCAAAAGTAATAGCAATAATCTCCCAAACATGTGGAACGTTTTGATGTATAACTTGTGGAAATTGTTGAAAATGTGAAAGCTGTGAAACGTGTCAAAAAAAATGACGGAATAAAGAAATACAAAACCAATGGTTGACTGCGGAAGGTTCCGCAGTCAATCAAATAGGCAAAGAGTACTCACAGTCACATATTCTGGCTGACACTCTCTAGACTCCATGGAGCTAAAAGAGAAAGACAAATATGAATGAATTCTGGCACAAAAGGTTAAACAGCGATTTGCATTAAGAATCGTAACAGGTGCAGGACATGTTTCAGCAACACTCTTCTTGATATGATATACCCAATTCTTAAGGGCTCCATAACTCCATACATGATGGATACAAATAATCTGTCAAAAAGCGCCCCTTGTGGCCAGTTTGGGAGGTGCACAAGGAATGCAGCTGAGTTTGCTTTATATTACAGAGCATGAACAATCTTAAAAAGCAAGATATTTTGCTTTTTAAGATTTCACATCATCTGAACAGCTCCCCAATATGAGAAGGTCCCAGTGGACTGAGAGCAAAGATCTGCCCCACATGAGAGCAGGCAGGGCAGATCAAAGTGCTAACACAGAATCAGATCTGTAAATGTCATACTGTGAAGTTAAAGTGCTCTAAGCTGCTCCCAACTGCGAGAGCAAAACTTTATGATATAGGCGTAAACACAATAAATGTCTATGTTAAGTGCACTTGATGGAGTCAAAACAGTAATGCTCTGACCTGCTCTGCTTCCCCTTGTTGGCCCTTTAAAAACCTAAGTTTTACTTGAAGCTTTGTCCACATTGCACGGAACATGACACACTACTAGTAAGTAAGTAATCTTTATTTATATATTTGTTTAAACTATTAATCATATGCTTGTCTAAATTTGATATTGTATCAAATTCCATTATCCAACAGATTCCTCGATTACAAAAATACCCGGTGATGCAGCGGTTAACGTTTGTGCTTCACAGCAAGAAGGTCCTGGGTGCTATTCCACCTCCAGGCTGGGCCTTTCTGTCTGGAGTTTGCATCTTCTTCCTGTGCATAGGTTTCCTCCAGGTACTCCAGTTCCCCTTACCACTAAAAACATTACAATACGTGAGGGTTGTGAGTGTGGTGTTGAGTGTTGCTGTGGGACTTCAGAAATGAGCTACATATCTATAATCTGATGTATTTACAGCTGCGGATTTTTAGTTTATTAACACACACTGTACCATCCAAATAAACAAATTATTGTTAGAGACACAGCAGAAGTCAAATCCACTCACAGTTGGCCTAGGACTAAAACTGCTCTTTGACGTCCCGTGTGCTCTTTGTGTGACTCTATCCCTCACGGGTCTTATTTTCCCCTGGCCCCTGAGCTGAACTACTGTGCACATGCTCCTGATGCCACCTTTTCTTCTGCCTCCGACGGCACTTTAAGCACAGCAAAAATACCATTAACACGATAGGCCACGGTGTGAGGAGGCTCAGCGTGTCGTGGGAAATAACTCAAAACACAGCGTGACACAAATGGATCTGTACTCTGTATCAACATCTGTATCTGTATCAACATCTGTATCTGTATCAACATCTGTATCAACATCTGTATCTGTATCAACATCTGTATCTGTATCAACATCTGTATCAACATCTGTATCAACATCTGTATCAACATCTGTATCTGTATCAACATCTGTATCTGTATCAACATCTGTATCAACATCTGTATCTGTATCAACATCTGTATCAACATCTGTATCAACATCTGTATCTGTATCAACATCTGTATCTGTATCAACATCTGTATCAACATCTGTATCTGTATCAACATCTGTATCAACATCTGTATCTGTATCAACATCTGTATCAACATCTGTATCTGTATCAACATCTGTATCAACATCTGTATCTGTATCAACATCTGTATCTGTATCAACATCTGTATCAACATCTGTATCTGTATCAACATCTGTATCTGTATCAACATCTGTATCAACATCTGTATCTGTATCAACATCTGTATCAACATCTGTATAAACATCTGTACTCTGTATCAACATCTGTATCAACATCTGTATCTGTATCAACATCTGTATCAACATCTGTACTCTATCAACATCTGTACTCTGTATCAACATCTGTATCTGTATCAACATCTGTACTCTGTATCAACATCTGTACTCTGTATCAACATCTGTATCTGTATCAACATCTGTATCTGTATCAACATCTGTACTCTGTATCAACATCTGTATCTGTATCAACATCTGTATCTGTATCAACATCTGTATCTGTATCAACATCTGTATCTGTATCAACATCTGTATCAACATCTGTATCTGTATCAACATCTGTATCTGTATCAACATCTGTATCTGTATCAACATCTGTATCAACATCTGTATCTGTATCAACATCTGTACTCTGTATCAACATCTGTATCTGTATCAACATCTGTAATCTGTATCAACATCTGTATCTGTATCAACATCTGTATCAACATCTGTATCTGTATCACATCTGTATCACATCTGTATCACATCTGTATCACACCTGTATCACATCTGTATCACATCTGTATCACACTGTATCTGTATCACACCTGTATCACATCTGTATCAACATCTGTATCTGTATCAACATCTGTATCAACATCTGTATCAACATCTGTATAAACATCTGTACTCTGTATCAACATCTGTATCTGTATCAACATCTGTATCAACATCTGTATCAACATCTGTATCTGTATCAACATCTGTATCTGTATCAACATCTGTATCAACATCTGTACTCTGTATCAACATCTGTATCAACATCTGTATCTGTATCAACATACAGATATGTTGATACAGATACAGATGTTGATACAGATGTTGATATCTGTATCAACATCTGTATCAACATATGTACTCTGTATCAACATCTGTATCTGTATCAACATCTGTAATCTGTATCTGTATCAACATCTGTATCTGTATCAACATCTGTATCTGTATCAACATCTGTATCTGTATCAACATCTGTAATCTGTATCTGTATCAACATCTGTATCTGTATCTGTATTCTGTATCAACATCTGTATCTGTATCAACATCTGTATTCTGTATCAACATCTGTATCTGTATCTGTATTCTGTATCAACATCTGTATCTGTATCTGTATTCTGTATCAACATCTGTATCTGTATCAACATCTGTATCTGTATCAACATCTGTATCAACATCTGTATCTGTATCAACATCTGTATTCTGTATCAACATCTGTATCAACATCTGTATCTGTGTGGATTCTGTTTTGTCCCCTTTTGAATGATCAATAATGGACTGATCAGTCATAGATAAACTCCTCCCCTTTATCCATCCCTCACTGTTCCCCGACCTCCATCTATTTATATCTATTTATATCTTTTTATATCTATTTATATCTATTTATATCTATTTATATATTTATATCTATTTATCTGTTTATTGCATTTCTATTGAGTTGAGTGTTTATTTCAAACATTAATTATCAGACGTCCATTTGATCACTTATTGCACATCATTCAAACTCAATTTTGTATTTACATGTGTTTTATTTCTGGTTTTCAGCTGTGGGTTTGAAAGGCACCTAGAAAAAAAAGTATATTATTTTGATATTTGATGAAGTACCATAATGTTTTCTCACATAGTGACAGGCATTTGTCCCACTTTTCCCTCTGGAGCGTGTGCTTTTTTTATCAACTGTTGCTGTTTTGCCAAAAAGGACAAACGTCTGGGATATTGTAGCGCAGACAGAGACATGTTGTATTGTTTTATTGTAGACGAAACACGAACAATGTTTCACAGAATGCAAGTGATATTAAAACATAGACAGTCTAATCAGCATTTGTAACGACGCCAGAAGCTTGGCCTTCAGAGAACCTAAAAACACTGCCTTTGTGCATTGTTACAACTTTAACCACAGTTGGTTCATGAAATCTCCAAAGTCCCCTCTGGTCCATCAGTATGGATATACAGCAACATAACATCAAAACTTTATACTTCAAAAAACTCAGAAAACATCATAAAACATGTTCAGATCTTTCATAAAACTCGTCAACAATCTTCAGTAAAATACCAAACTTCTTCAGTCGATGGTGGTTCTCAGATATTGCTTTGAAAACAGTCTCTTCCACACTTTCTGCATTGATTTCTTCTTCAGGCTGAATTTCTTCTGTCGAGTCTTGTGTCTTTCAACCCCACGTTTCAATCCCACATTTCAGCTTTAGTGTCCAAATTCAGCAATCCAATTCAGCCCAAAATATGTCAAAATTCAGAAATCCAAATGTTTCGAAATTAGTTCCATGCAATTGCGGACGATGGTATTATCCATGTCTCAGCAGCTCACAGCAGGAGTGGAATCAGGGGCTGAGCAGATTGTCCACGTGTGCTGAACCAGATGCACGGTTTCTCTTGACGTTTTTCAGTTGTCTTTTTAAAAAAAAGAAAACGAAAAGTCTTCTGTCTGTAGATGTTCTCTTCAGACAATGCCCACATTTTCCACCAACTGAAGACAAAACGACAGAAGCAGCAGCGATCTCACGTACTTGCACCTTTAGTTTATTTCCAAGCTTTTTCAGACAGAACAGACAAAAACACAGCCAGACTTGTCTCAATTAAACAGACGCAAGATGAATGCATAAAAAAGCCCATCTTCCTTGCTCTTAAAACCGCACTGTTCGATCAGTTTTCACAAAGTTGTATTTAAACATCTATCACATCTTTAAACTAGCTTTTTCAAACAGAAAAGCAGAGACCACCCTCACTCAGCCAATCAGCTCGCAGCCCATAGTGATTCTTTCTTACAGTTACAAGTAGCTTTTAATGCGAAAAATAAGGGTTAAAATAAAGTGTGATCCATTTTGCTCGCAACATTTAAGAAATATTCTGTTGGGACAAACAACATTTATTAATTATGAAAGAATAACGTTTGGTACCCAAGCTTAAGTTGTTACTCATGTCTCACCATCATACCTCTTTCAACTGACATGCAATAAGAGTTATACTAATATTACACTCATTGGCATCAAACTGATAAATAATTACCAAATATAAACATAAATGCATATTAACCACCTCACCTCATCTAACAAAGAGAAACCTTTTACCATGACTTCTTCACATGAATGAACCATAGACCTGATCAACCATAGACCACACTCGGGAAGGACAAATCCTCCCTTTGTTTGTGCTTGAAGGCATTGACCAACGATTTTAATACATCCATGGAATAACCATAGACTGTATATATTAATATATAAAATAACCCCCTACGTGTAAATGTCTCCATCATGAGATCAATAAACATTTATCTTATCTTAACTTATCTTTAAACGTCCGAAGTTAAATATTCTAAAATAAAATAACAGAAGACGTGAGTGATTGAAAACGTAAATGGGTGAATCCACTGGAGTAAAAAATGAAAGTGTTACATGTGCATGTTGTAGGTGCGTAGACGCGACTTTATAAAGTTAGTTACTTTTATAAAGCTATCATACAGCCTTACCTTGCATATCTCTCCTCTTGACATGACTGCTCGATCGCTGTCCGGTTCTTCACACCACATATGTTACTGGCTGCGATAGATATTTTCACGTCAAGCTCTTTCTTATCTTCTTCATCGTTTATTGTGCATGTGTGTGGTTGCACGTCTGCACTGCAGCCACGAGGGGGCGCGCACGTCTCAGACACAGCTTCAGAAGTGGCTTGTTGGAGGTCTGTGGGTTTCATTCGTGCTGAGTCTTCTGTCGGTGTGTTTAGATTGTGTTGAGGGTCTGCTCCGGGCTTTTCTGCCGGCCTCTCCTCCTCTGCTCTGGGGGTCTCTGTTGAGGGTCTGTTTGTGCTCTTTTCAGGGCAGGGGTCTGGGCTACAATTGTCTTTCGTCATCTTGTTGCTGTTGGGGCTCTCTGTGGAGCAGAAGAACACAAAAAAATATGTCAGAAGATTCATAGACCAAATTATATATTGTTAATTTACAGACCAACTCATTGACCACTCATTCTTCTACCATAGTCCAGAATGCTATTGCTTTATATAAATGATCTGTACATAAAGTACTGACAAAGAGGTATAATAATAATATTTTATAATATAATATAGATTTTAGATCTGTATCAAATGGATTTTCTTTTTTCAATAATTGACTTTCGTAGTCATTGATTCAAACAGTGAAAAACATTGTGAAAAACCCGCTCTCTGTCCTCCAGTGGCTTGACTTCAGCTTTCCATCCATCCATCCATTTACTTCCTCTTAATCCATTTCTGGGTCGAGGGGGGGGGGGGGGGGGGCACTCAGAGCTGCACCCAGTACACTTAGCACCAACTTCAGCTTTATCAAAGTCAATTGGAAATCAAGTATGTTTGCCTTCTAAATAACTAATTGATGAACCAAAAGAATAATTGCTAACTAAAGAGTTATGACAGTATGGTGTTGTCTCTGTGGTCTGACCTGTATAACTCTTGTGTCTCTTCTTCCAGAGCTGTCGTGGCAGTGTGCCCATATGACTGTAGCCATTGCTGGACCTCACATAGCTAGATGTTTGTGGACGAGTGGCCTCCAGGTTGTCCACCACTGCGGTCTCTTCTGGTTTGTCCTCATCAGAGACACTGCTCCTTCCAGAGCGGCGGAACGACAAGTTGGTGAAGCTCCCGAACCACAAAGCTTCAGATAAAGTAAAGAATTGCATGTTAGACTGAGACGATACATGTTTAGGAAGTGCAGTATTTGGCATTTGACCAAGGAGTCATAGGCAGAAAAAAATCATACAAGTCATATCTATAAAAAAAATGGTTATATACGGTTGAAAAAATAAATAATCAAATTCTAAGTGTTATTTCACTGCCAATGAGAAAAAAGGCAGATAGTTGTTTATTACCAATTAAATGACATTCATGTAATTAAAAACCAATAAGCGATAAATGTAACAGTACAGCAGTCAAGATACCGTGGCTTTCTCCATCGTCATAGTAACAGCAACAGAAGACTTTTGTGAACAAATCACAAGTTGTTGTCTTAGCAGATGTTATCATTTGTGAGCCTTGTGAGTCACTATTTGACACTTTGGGCTTATTGGCAGAATGAGGGTGGAACTTTCTTTTTCACTCTCCAAAATTACATGAAAACTACAATGATGGAATTAAAATAAAACTGTTATGAGAGCAAGAAACTAGTTAGATGGATGCTAATACACTGTTAAATGTTTAGGTTCCCCAGATAACATATGTGCATGATTTACTGCTGTTACTTCATGCACATACTCAATGAAAATACTCACAAAACTGGCGCAGGTTCATAGCGTGGCATCGATGTGGGACAAAGTTTGACACAAGTGAGAGGTGGAAAGTATCTGTAGCTGAGTCGCACCACTTCCTGTCTGATGAGATGAGCAGCACTAACAAGAAACGGAGAGATGAGATAACAAGAGCTGTCAGTGTTCAGCAAACTCAGAGAGGAAGTACGAATATGGCTCAATAAAAATATGCAACACATATATAGGGTTCCAGAACAGATTAGAATAGTTTTAAACTATAGTGAATAGTAAAAGTAAAGTACATAGTCTAAGATTAAATAGTGAAATAAGTGTAGTGTAAACAATTAGCATTAGAATAAAAGTAGAGTAAGAAAAGTGAAATTAGCTTCTAATTTGAGACTCAGTTCGTTTTTTGTCTGTGTTTTGACTGAATCTGCGGAGTTCTTGTGTGTCCAATAGTGTTTTTTCGTTTTTATTTTTGATTTGTTTTTGTTTTTGTTTGTTTTTGTTTTGTTTTTTCCCCAATATAGAGGATAAAATACACTGATATTGATGATTATGAGTTCAATGCATACATTTTCTTTGTTTTTTCTTTGTTTTTGTTTTTTAGATTAATTTTTTTTATTTTTTTATTCTCACTTTATTGATTGATCAAATTGAGTGATCACATGTGATTATGTGATCAAAGGGGTGAGTGTTAGTATTAGATAGCAATATGGCCTACGTGCAGGACTCTACAAGGACTCTGATTATTTTGACTCTGATGTGACTCTCTCTGTGTGACACGTCTTTCCATGTGTGACGTGACAATGACTATATAAACTGTGTACTGCCTTTATTCTGTCTGAGAGAAAGAAACAATGGAAACAACTGGAACTTGAGAGAAACTTAAATAAACTTCCAGAGTTTGGTGCACCACAATCCGTCTCTGTCTGATTCATTCCTGACAGAAGTCACAGTTTGGACAGACAGCTGCTAAGTGTGACTCCCATCAGTCACTCATCTCACAACTAAGACTTAAATAAGACTGAAATTACCCATATCCCCATGTGATGAAATACATTAGCAGGGCTGTCATTAACAATGTTTTATTATTCTTTGATGATCAGTGGATATTCCTGCAACCTGGAGAGATGATTTGATACATTGTTTTTGTTGTTGGCGCTTTAGCATTTATTGAAAGGAAAATATTCATCATACAACCCGAAAACAAATCATCTCCATTTAAATGTTCTCCAGGGGCTGCACACGACAAATCTTAATAATCAGACAAATAATACATTATAAAAAGAATCATTATTTACATGAATCACTAAGCTGTAACCTGTCTGGGGATCCTAACATGTTTAATTCCATGTAAGGTTCAATCATTTCGAGCAGATCATTGAACCTTATACTTTAGTGTAGCTTTGTTTGTGTTCTCTCAATTAGAAGATTGTTGTGTTTTAACGGCTTCTGTGTGAGTCTCTTCCTCAGCCTTGTGTCTTTTGTTTCTCATCAAGTTTATAACTGAGGCCGGTTGTGTCCCCTGTTCCCTCTGGTTGCTTCTGAATTCGCTTCTGATGGCGTATTATTCTTAGTATCTAACTTACATAATCTGTTCCTCTGTATTACTCTTATAACTGTGCACAAACTATTGACTAATCTAAGTCCAAATGTACTTCTGTTTACTGTGTATTCATAGTATTTACATACAGTTGCCTTTGGCTCTATTAGTGTCATAGAAACAATGAATCCTACGAGCATTTCCATAGTTTTGGGTGTGTTTAGCAAAGATGTTGCACCTTCCTGTTCACACATCCTTTCACACTGTAGAAAATGGATGTCAAAGTTAAAAAGGAAATAAACTTTTTTTTTTTTACCACCAGAATTATTTTTACTGTTTTAAAATATAAAACAGGAAGTCACAAAGTCCTGGACTGGTTCAAACAGTTTATACAAAAGTAAAACATGTAAATAACACAAAATATACATTTAATTCAATTCAATCTGTTTTTGTAAAAGCCCTAAATAACAACAGAAGTTTTCTTGGAGGACTTTAGAGTTGCATTTAAGTTTAGGTTTGTTGTCCCACACAGAAATAGTTCTGGAAGCTGTCTTTGGTGAAGTGTTGTGGATTTCAGAGGCATCTCGCAAATAAAGTTTAGCCACATTCTCCGCTTTGATTTGTCACATTTTTACACCAATATTTATCTGTTATATTTTATAACAGTTACAGTATGTGTCTGTAAGGATCCATGGATATTTAGGACAAGCCGGGAGCTTTTCATAGAGGATTTAGGGCACGCCGCCAGCCGGATGTTGCAGTAGTCCTTGAGGTGACCAATGCATGGATCAGTTTTTCTGCATCCCTCGTAGGAAGGATATTGCTAATTTTAGCTGTTGCACAGATGGAAATAGGTTGCACCGTTTTAGCTGCTTGATTTAGAATTGCCTTGAAGAAGAGATCTTGGTCAATAACGACTCCATTAGTGTAGATTATCAATAAGTGTCCAAAAGTATGAGAATATAAAAGGACTGCGTCAAAAGATTCGTGTGTAAAAAAAAAACTTGTGTGTAAAACGTACTTTTTTTTTTCTTTACACACACACAAATCTTTTTACGCACACACAAATCTTTTTACGCACACACAAATTTTGATACGTACATACAAATCTATTTACACACGCACAAATATTTCTTTTACACACACACAAATCTGGTTACGCACGCACAAATCTGGTTACGCACACACAAATCTGGGTACGCACACACAAATCTGGTTACGCACGCACAAATCTTTTTACGCACACACAAATATTATTGAAACAATAATAGCTCCATAAATTCATAATTATAACGGCACCTTTCTTTCTCCTTGTCTGTCTGTGTAAGTT